CGTGAGTGTGTTACATTTCAGTGTGTTTTCCATGCTTACACAGGGCTTTCTGTCTAATGACATAGAAATACACACACACACGTTCACACACACATTCATGTTCCTTTACACACACAAACATTCATACACCCGGACAAGTGGGTGATTGTTTTCTGGCTTCAGCATGGAATTTTTCAATGTAGCTTTTTATCCCTGTTGGGAATCGACACCTTATTCCTCCCACATTCCACAGGGGAACGGAAACCACTGTATGTGGTTGTGTGTGTGAGTGTGTGTTTGTGTGGGCATGGTGATGTCTGAAGCTATCAACAACAGCAGCCATCTGGTAATAATTCCACTGGAAACAATGGTCATTATTCATTGACTGATACAGTACATTTGCAGATATGTACATTAGATCCTGTAGGAAACAGCTGCGGAACAAAATGCATTTTTCTTACATTTAACTTCCGTCGTGACTCAGCATTACAAGGCACATTGTCACTAAATCAGATGTCAATGTTCAATTTCACACATCAGTTGCTCCAAATTGCAGTGAAAGCAGAACACAACACATTGTGTCTTCTAGACTGCTTTATAATTGCCTTTAAAGGAATCGTTTTGTTTTTTTTAACATTTTAGGATATGATTTTCAAAAGTGGGAAGATCAGTAGCACATATCTCTGTCCGCTAAATACAAAGCCAGTAAAAGGTTGGCTTAATGTTTAAGATTGGGAAGAAGCCAAGAAACAGTTCGACATGCAACCTGCCTAAACAACATTTTTATTACATTTTTGGTACAGATTAAACAAACAAGATATAATGTGTTCAGTCGTAGGTGAAACGTTGAAAGCTCAAAAAACATTCCAATGTAAAAAAATGTGAAAAGGTTTAAAGACTGTTTTCAGATCTGCCTCAAAATGTAACAGGCTCTTTTTTGGTCCTTGTTAACACATTTCCCAAAAGTGTAATGGTAATCTCAAGAGTAGTTTTTGCTGACTAACAAAGAAACTGACCAATAACATAACCTCATAAAGGAGGTAATAATCAGTCGGGTAGCTTTAGAGGAGCTGATTGGGCGGTCTTCCAGTCTTGATACTTAGCTACATTTACCATCATATTTATGTACAGAAGTGTGTGTCATCAATCTTCTAATCTAAAAAACAGAGAGAAAAAAGGGGCACCCATCCCAAAATCCCAACCTGTTACAAGAGGCGCGTTCACACCGCAGTACTTTTCCCACAAAGGTTCATCAGAATTTAGTTCAACTAAATACAGATCGCGTTCACACTATGGTTCACACCGGAATAATCCCTGGGGGAGGATTAGGCAAATGAAGCCGCTGACGTCACTTCTTCTTCTTCTGCTTTGGGTTTACTGGCAGGCCGCAAACCACGGCGTATACTGCCGCCCAAAGTCCCCGGCCGGAAGTCCCCGGAGTTGGGAGCCTTCCGAGTAAATCGCCAGAACGCCGACACCTCCTCATCTCCACCGCTCCCATGTTTATTTTGTGTTGCCATAAATTAGTCTCTCTGCGTTTTTGCGCTGGGCTAATGCTAATGCTAATGCGAGGATAATAAAATGGCGGCTTCACAAAACTTTTTGGGAGTTTTACGGGGCGTGGTTTGCAATCCGCCCAGCCAATCAGACACAGGAACCTTTTTCTCCCACGAAAGTCCCTGCTCTCTCGCAGGGACGGAAAAGGGGGTGAAAATGTTCTCATTAGGCGCATTCACACTGCGGTACTTTTCCCACAAAGGTTCATGTGAACTTAGTTCATGTGAACTCTTTTATCGCGTTCACACCAAAAAGAGCCGGTACTAAAATTAGTTCATGTGAACCTTTTTACCCCCACGAAAGTCCCTGCTAGAGAGCAGGGACTTCGTGCGGCTCTCTTGTGAGAAAAGAGCTATATTTCTGATTGGCTGGGCGGATTGCAAACCATGCCCCAACTCCGGGGACTTCCGGCCGGGGACTTTGGGCGGCAGTATACGCCGTGAAGTGGTTTGCGGCCTGCCAGTAAACCCAAAGCAGAAGAAGAAGAAGTGACGTCAGCGGCTTCATTTGCCTAATCCACCCCCAGGGACTTTTTCCAGTGTGAACGCGATCTGTACTTAGTTCATGCAAACTAAAGAGTTCACATGAACTAAGTTCACATGAACCTTTGTTGGAAAAGTACCGCAGTGTGAATGCGCCTTTTAACTCATTTTAGTTCCGGCTCTTTTTGGTGTGAACGCGACATTTCGGAACTATATCGGAACTAAAGTGGGAAAAGTACTGCGGTGTGAACGCGCCTAAGGGTGAGATCAACAAAAATGGGTACAGTGACAATTATAACCCTTTTTAAAATGCTTTAACTTTGTTGTGGCTAATATAGAATACTTTTTCAATCTTTAAAAAAAAATGACTCCCTGTCCGTGACCTTTCCTAACACTAGAAGTCCTTGAACATCATATTCATAGCGTACCGTGCATTCAGACCGATGAGTATTCATGTTAGAATATAATGAATTTCTACAGGAAATTAGGGGTTATTATAAGAACAGAAGGTTATTGGAAGAGATGTCTTTGACTGTCCTGCTCTTCATTCGCTCTCCATTTATCATACGAGCCGATTCTTCATTTACTTATTCCCTCTCTTCCTTCTCCTTTCTTCTCTGTCTCGCTCTTTTCTTTTTCCTGGCAGAGTTCAGAGTGGTGTTACCATCTGTCTGTGATGTGTCCTGGACGCGACTGTGCGAGTGTTAGTGTGTGTGCGTTCAAGGCAGGATGGCCAGGCTGAGCTGGAAACGGGGCTCAGATGGAAAAAGAGGGAGTGTTTAAGACAGAGAAAGAACAAAATCAACAATTACAAGAAAAGATAGCGTCAGAAAGCCACAGCTGTGTGATCTACTAACCCTTTCAAAGAGCCTGTCAGAGCTAGAAGACGACCAGCTGAAAGGAAATACATACAATGACACACAGCTGTCTTCAGAGGAACGCTGTGTGTGTTTCTGCGTGTGTCTGAAATGGATATCAGTGACACGTCTTTACAGAAATGAAAAGCATATCCTTAATGCATACTGTGTGTGTGTGTGTGCTAATAGCAGCTTATAACCATTAGTCAGTAGCTCTTTAGCAGGGATTTCACTCAGCAGCATTTAATTGCAGCACTTACGTCATTCAGTAATCTATCTCTGGCAATGGATGTGTGTGTGTGTTTGTATATGTGTGCATATGCATGTGTTTGTGTTTGAGCTACGTTAGCTGTTGCGGAACATTATGGCTCGGGTCCTTTGTGTATCTGCTGAATAAATGTGTGTTCCCCAAGGACACAGCGTGTATATATATTACTGCTGACGTAACCGTAGGGGGGCTCATGTGGTTCTCGTGCTGTGTGTGTGTGTGAGCACATACGTTGACAGGTAGGTTTAGTTCAGCAGCTTGGTTCAAACCCTGTTGAGACACATTGCTTTTGTGATGTTGGTTCTTGTCCAATTAGGTGAAGCCATGTTATTTTCCACTTAAGATGAATAGACGTGGTTGTTGTTTTATTTAGTTTTTACTGCTATTATTATGCAAGAAAAGAAACCAAACACAGATTTAGCTCCTTTTGGTCACAACTCACCCTCATTAAGCCTCGGAAGATGTCTTGTTCTTCCTGTGTGCATGTTTATATATAACCCTGTGTTTACAAAGCTAACAGCAGGTGCAGTAATCCCTATTCACATATCAAACTAAGCCCCTATTCATCCTCTACCTCTCTTTTTATTAGTCCTCTGCAGGATATTCACTGTAATCCCCCCTGTATTTTACAACTTTGAATTAGTCTCTCTCTCTATTTTCTGTTTTCTCTGCCTCTCACATCTTTCTTTCTTCTACATTGACATGATGGGACTTGTTGTATTTCACTGGAGTCCATGTCTATGCAAAGGTGTTATTATCGACGGCACATTCGGAAAAGTATTAATAGTAATCTGTCAGAACGAAAGGATGTCTTCATTCTCTTTCCATGTGTCTATTATTTTATTATTTTCTCATATGTTTCAGCTTCTTCTCTCTCTTGCTCATTTGAGTGTTTCCAGTATTCTGTCATGTATCTTGTACACCTCTGTTATTAGAACTGAATCTGGGTTTTGATCCAAAGTCTTATTCAAATTGGGAAGGACACCACACTACAATGAACCCAATGGGAACAAACAAATGTCATAATCGCCCTCACCCACGCAAAGAGGTTTTCACGCTAACATGAAATGGAAAATGATCTTGTTGATAAGGAAATTGCACAATAAACACCAATGGAAACACACCTTTGAAGACTTGGCATAATCTTGCCTCAAGTTTAATTGCACAACAGGATTAGCTCGACATTTTGGGAATTATGCATATTTGCTTTCTTCTTGAGTGTTAGATGAAGGGTTGATACCACTTTCATCTTTCAGGAAGCTAAAGGCGGCTAGCCCAGACTAGCATAAAAACAAAACAAACATCTTTGTGACATTTAGTGAACTTCATAGGTTTTGATTGACTGTTTTAAATCCATAAAGACAGAGCTTTGCTAAGCTAAGCAAAGCTCTCTGGCTGCTTGCCCCAGCTTCATATGTACAGTATAGATATTAGCATGGGCCGACTTTTGATAAGAAACCAAATTAACACATTTCCCCAAAACAACAATTACTTTTGAATTGTATACGTAGGTTTGGACTTTCTGAAGTGAGCAATGTGGCCTTTGTGACTCAGGCATACAAAGCCATACTTTCTACTTTCAATTTTTTATGAAAAACCATAGCAGGTAGTAATGATCACTCTTCCCTTTTTTGTTGGTGGTTGAAACCTGCTTCATTACTTTGAACCGATACAGGAAAAACCCTGCTTCATTACTTTGAACCGATACAGGAAAAACCCTGCTTCATTACTTTGAACCGATACAGGAAAAACCCTAATCTGGTTTGAACTTTCATGTTATTCAGTGTGTGTTTGTATATAACTGGAAAATGCTGACGTCCCCTGTTCCTCATTTTCTCTCTCTCTGTACTTTCTCAGGTAGGGCAGTTCAGTGAATTTCTCCATGAATGTACGTCACAATGATGATGACAGACCAGATTCCACTGGACTTGGCTCCGCCCCCCCTCCTGAACGGGGAAGTCCCTCTCATGCCTCACATGGTTAACGGTGACGCAGCGCAGCAGGTAAACACTCACTCATTTTGCTTTCAGTTCACTTGCAGAGTGATCATTCAAATGCATCCACCTCCTTTCAACATTCCTGTGTTGCCGTACACACACGCCAACCATCTCTTTGTCATTTCGTCACATGGCTCTTTGGTTGTTGCCACAGGTAATGAACAGCTGCCAAGCGTGTACAGTAAAGCATTCGTCATGTAACAGGAACAAGAATAAACACAGGCCATATACTCACATCTCTCAACACCTAAGACACTTTGTGCTAGTCATGTAACTAGCCCTGTTGACGCATCCCAAGGCCTTAGCTTAAATGGCTCTGGAAAAGGTTTGCTCTGAAGCTGACTGATCTTATCAGAAGCCGCAGAGCCAACTGGATCACCTTCAAAGTGCAAAGCCCCACCCAAGCTCTGCTAACTTGGCGAAAGGAAGCGATTGACGCAATTCAAAGCAAACCAGTTAATTGACATGGGTCTAATCCTGTTGCCACAGATATATTTTTGATCCGTGTGCTTTTTGGTACGGATGATGATGTGTATGCATTGTCCCCTGCCTGTTCCCCCACAGCCCAGAGGAAGCTCGGTGGGAGTGCTCTGGCTGCGACACACAGCAGTTAGGGAGCTCTTTTGATTGTAACACCCTGCAGTTTGAAGACGGTGAAGAAGTGTGGAATCAGCGATCTAGACTGATGATTATACAGATTTGACTCTGCATGCGTGTGTCCATGGTTGTGTGTGTTTGTTTGTTTATGGGTCTGGGTTACACTGTGTGTGTATCTCTTACCCTGTGTGGGCACACAAGTGTCTGTGTTGAGTCTGAGTACATACTTCTGTGTTTGTGTTTGTCTGTCCGCCTTCCTATCTGTGTCTACCTGCCTACACCTGTTTTATGTGTGTCTATCTGTGTCTGTGTGTTCCTGTGTGTGTTAGCGCATGCAAGCAGAGCTATCAAATACAATCTTAGGCTAACATGTAATGTTTAAAGAACATATATATGCCTCGTGGAGTAAATCTTCCAAAGAGCCAAATGGCCACATCCCATCTAAGCTCGCTGTAACTGTAATTCAAGGGAATTTCATATCGAGGGTGTCTTTCATTTTCCTTTCTGCAAAAGTGAAACGCATTTCTGGGTTTCACCAAACGTATTTTATGACGAGTTAGTTTCTACTTATAGCCCTTGCTTTTGGTTTTAAACTTTTTCCAATTACAAGAATATAATGATTTGTTAGTATTTAAGTAGTTGTAAGAGTTTCTACCCTAGGGGGAAAAAGGGTGCTAATGTAGCCTATAGGCGGATCTGTTTTCTGAGGATTCACCTCCTTCACGTAATTGAGTATCAGTACACAGCATTTAGTGCAATACAAATAAATCTGGCCCTCCTTGTCGATTCCCATATCTAACCACTCCATTGGCTCGTTTGGTGACATTAAACTTGTGCTGGATTGGCCTTAATAATGCTAAAATAGCAGAAATGACATAAAATTGCAATGTTCTCTAAAAATGTGCTATTCCCTTGAACACGGACTGAAATGCAGCCTTGGGATTTTATTCCTGGCTGTTTTTAACATCGAAATAAATAAGTAGTTCCTAATACGAGGAAAACATTTGCGATGGTGGCAGGTGACCCGAGTGTTTACCTGCTGCAGCCAAAGGTCACCCTGCATTTGGCAGATTGCAGGAGCTCATTTCCTTCCCTGGCTGTAAGTGTGTTTGGCTCCAAAATATAGAACATATTCAACTTCAAAACACACTGTAGAAGATTTTATAGTAAGAAACAAGTAAATAAATATAAAAAATGTTTAATAAACCATTAGCTGATTTTATATTTACAGTTTCAGTGTCCAATCATCTTTCAAAACACAACAACAAAATCACTACATAAATATTTTACACATCGCTCCACACACACACTCACCCACATGGTCTAATATAGGGGTTTTCTCAGTCTTTGGGAAACATGGGTCGCCCTGTACTATGCTGGGGTTCCCATAGCAACAGCATCCGCTGCAGCAGACAGAGCAGGAAGCGTGGATGTGTGTGTGTGTGTCTGTGTGTGTGTCAGAGGGAGAGGAGCAGGTTAGCGCTGAGATGGGAGAGCATGCAGACACTACAGGAAAAGCGATATGAGGATTTTACGACGGCACACCTGTAGAGCATAGACAGGGCTGTGGTCGTGTGTGCATGCATGTGTGCGTGAACACATGTGCGTGTGTGTGATGGAGGGTCACTTGTTTCATGTCTACAGCCATGTGTACACTCTCAACAATCTGCATGCGGAGAATATGACGGTAAGGTGCATGCACACACCCTTCCGGCATATTCAGCAGTGACACTGGGAAATCAAAACAGTGTCATATATTTTGGTTTGTTTGTGTGTGTGTGCCACCTGTTTGTATGTTAAGTGGTGGTGAATGCATCTCTCTATGTGTGTAATATGTGTGTGTGCTGGTTTAAGTGTTTTTCCTGTAAGTGGTGTTAAAAAGGAAAGCCACAAATCAGGCTGTGTGTGAGACAGCATCATTGTGTCATCATTAGCTTACCTAACACCTCCTCCATATGTCTGTGAACTCTGTGTCCGCCCTACTCTGGGATCTGATAATTATAGTGTGTTATGTCACCTCTGCAAGCCTATTGGCTGCCCAGCAGGGATTCTATCATGTTCTGGTGATTGTTGAAGATGGACGTACGTTACGGGCGTCATGCAAGATACAGTTATTTTCATCGTTGCTTTCTGATTCTCATGTATTGAATCATATCTGTGTTTTTCTAACTGTGTGATTTGTGTGTGTGCTGCTACAGGTGATCCTGGTGCAGGTGAACCCGGGGGAGACGTTCACCATCCGGGCGGAGGACGGCTCACTGCAATGCATCCAGGGTCAGTCCCACCATATACTGTGTATTATCATATCAACATGTGGCCTGCTGTCAGCTGTGATCTGTGTCACTTTAAGACTAAGTCATTTACAGCACTTTAATTACAAGCTTGCTGCAAATGCTTAAGTAAACTGAATGAACTGTTTATTGGAACAACATCAATGGAAAAGCATGACAGCAAATCAATTTGACAATATGTATTTATAAAGGTTTCCCTCCATTGGGTTCCATTTATATTTCTTTATATAACAATCATATTATATAGACTTGAAACTGGATTTGATTAGGTAACCCAGACAGGGAATATTATGGTAGTTTTTTTATTCTGTGGCCATAAAGCAAGTCTCTTTGCCTGTACACAATAATGTGTTTCCATTGTCAGGAGTGATATTAACATGTTTGATTGACATTAGCCTAAAAGTTCTTAGTCCCTAGTAGTAGTCTTTTAGGAGAGTAGTCAATAACGCAGCACTAATGCCCCGGCCACACGAGGACGAAAACGGCTAAACGCATAGGATTAACGCAAATGCAATCGCAAAACAGCTTCCGTCCACACGCAATATTCACCGGATAGTGTCTGCCCACACGAGACAGCTCCGTTTAGCTCCAACCGCTGGAGAAGCTGCAGTACATATGCAGGAGCCTGTACGTGGCGCTGTAACTTCCTCCTCAAAAGCAGCGAAGAAGCATGGTTGTCATGGTTGCCCTTCTGGTTATTCTCCGCGGTGGGGGCCGAGGGAACCGGGCAGAGTTTTTCGCCAGTCAACGTGTATTAAAGTTTAAACCTTCCGACAAAATTATAAAAGTGCCGGTCAAAGGTCTTCTTTGTTATTTATTGAGCTTTAAAACAAATGAATAACGACTCTATATAATATAATAATAAAATACACGGAGCCTCTCTTTTTCCTCCCTCTCTTCGGACAGCGTCAGTGACTGTTTCATGCAGCAGCTGATCCAGTAATGAATGACCCGGCCGACAGTAAAAATAAACATATTTATAACTAGTTTAGGTAGTTTGAGAGGTGTCTCCGTCCTGTCAGATTAGACTTCACTCGCGTTTATGTCCATATCGAGAGAAAGATAAATAATCTGAATTCAGTGTGCAGTTTACTTTGACGCGGGGGTGAGCAGCAGAGGTGGGGAGAGGCGGGGCTATTGCCTCATCATTATCAGAAAATGATCGTATAGGGCGTACACACGGAGCCGTTGGATCCCCCAGAGCGTTGCGTATGCCGTTCTATCCACCTTGGGACCCGTTATCGTTTACGCAGTCGTTTAGTACCGTATTCGGTCGTCCTCGTGTGGCCGAACGGTCTATATGACACTAAACAGTAACGCAAACGACCGTTTTCGTCCTCGTGTGGCCGGGGCATGAGGGTGAGGAAAAGGAAGTGAGGGGGAAATGCTTGGCTGTTATCTTCTCATACAATACAAAGACTAGTTGATAGCAAAGTCAGGGACAGATTGGGAGTGGAGAGCCATTGTCTCTGGTTGCATCTGATATCAGTTCATTAAAAGAATGGAAACGTAAGCCACTTAGAGGCTGTGAAAGGCAGAGGTGGCAGTAACATGGGAATTCCCCAACTTTCGCGTCTCACTTTGATGATGTCAGCACCGTAAACTGCTACTCAGAAGCTTTGAAAGGGCGCCTTTGTTTTCTTCCCAATCTCTCTCCATCAGTCTGTCTCTTGCTTCTTCTCTCGCTCTTTCTTTGCCCTCTGTGAAGGTGTTCTTTGAGTGAGAGCACTTTTGGCACTGACTCTCCCCTACAAAAAACTCTCTCCCTACCCCCCCACACTCCTAACTCTATGTTGTAACTAATTACAACCTACCTCCTTTTCTCCGCCCGCCGTGTAATTCAATTTCCCCCTGAAATCGAGGGTTCGCTCTATGCAGGGCTTAGAGGCACGAATGATGCCAGATAGACACCGTGCATGATGGGATGGTCGGATACAAAGATGTGCAGATACGGTTTACAAAGACCTCCAAAGATATGGATCAATGAGATGCAGAACGACGGATAAAGACATATAAAATAACGCCTGACTGCATACAGTAAATAGATTAATGTGGTACCAGACAGTGATTTGCCAAAACACATTCAACATTGACGTAGTTGGGGTCTGGCAGTTGTCTGTTTATTTGTGTGTGCGCACTTGCTTGCAACATTTAGCATCCAAAGCACAGTGTGTTTCTGTGTTGACTTTTTTTAGGGCCTTTCAAAACAGGCGACGACAGTTAATTGGGCGGGTGGCTGGGGTCTTGGGGTCGTGTTTGAATGCACATATTATTAATGTGAAGGGCCACACACACACACACTCTCTCTCTCTCTCTCTCTCTCTCTCTCTCTCTCTCTCTCTCTCTCTCTCTCTCCGTCTCTATCTCTCTCTCTCCGTCTCTATCTGGAGGAGGTCACTGGGTTTAATGAGAGGTGGAGTGTGGCAGTGTGTTCTGAAGGCGTGCCGAGGCGCTCTTTAGACAGAGACTCGGTGTGATTACTGAGACCTCAGAGCCCCGGGTCTGCGCCTGCTTGTGTAGTTGTGTGCCTGCGTGTGTGTTTGCACTCCGGCATACTTATGCGCAAGTGTGTGTGACAGAGAGCGAGTTTACAGAGACCTCAGTGAGGGCACAACCAGGGACCAGCTTTTATATAAAGTAACCTCTGTTTAGCTGCTGCACTGCGGTGCGCGCATGCAAACACACAGACACACAGACACACAGACACACACACACACTCACACACACAGATGGTTCGCCAAGGCAGAACCAGCCTTGAGACGTCGACACAGCGAGCAAAAGAGTCCTCACATTCAGCCTTCCTTCTCCTCTGCTCTCTTCTCTTTCTCCCCCCCCCCCCCTCCCTTAGCAGACCTGGAGCAGCAAAGTGCTTATTGTGTATGTTGGATTGATGTTAAGTACTGCTCATTAACCACACTACCACTAAATGCTACTGGCTGCATTATGCTCTTTTATTTGGACTGAGCGTTTACACAGAATTCCATAACCTCAGAGCACAGACGCCCTATTCAGAGCGGCAATCTGCACAGTTGAATAATTCATGTTTGCTCTGAAGTGTAGAAAAGTGTTCAGACTATTTCAAGAGTTGTCAGATATTTTGCTGATATGCTCTCCTCGCTGTTTGCCGCTTTCTTCCAGAGTCAGTAGCTTAATGGGTGTTTCTTTGTGCCCCCTTTGCAGCAGTGAATCAATCAGAACAAACAACTTTTCCGGTATCACTCTGTTAATCAGCATGTGTCAGAGTCTACATATCCTCATCCAGTTTAATCAGCCTGACCTCTCGGTGCTCCGTGGGTCAGCTTCGACTGACCCCACCCCCCGACCTCCTGCACCCAGTCTATCTCACACCGTCTCTACTGGGTTGCTCCCATGTATACACACTTCACCCTCCTTTACCCTCCCCCTCTCCCTTTCTCTCTCCCTCCCCCACTAAGACCATTCCCCTGAGCTTTCCCACACTCACATCAAAGGACAAGACTCCAGAGGGTGTGAGCACCCTCCTATGGAATGTGAGTGTGTTAATGTGTGTGTGTATGTGTGTGTGTGTCTGTGTATGTGTGCATTTGTGTGTGTTTTACAAGGCTGTGTAGGTTTACTGTGTTGTTTGGTCTTTGTTGAACTTTTATGGGGGATGATGAGGCCGGGGGTGAAGAGCAGGATGCTGAGCCCTGCCAGGGAGGATGTGACATCATGAGGCATGGGTGGCAGCGGCTACAGCGTCCTGTGGAGAGCTTGGGCATGGTTGAGATTAAGGATAGTCAACAGTTGATTGGCTTGATATTTATAACAAGATGCATCCTCTGGTGGACTAACAGGATGTAGCTACTAAATGCACAACATCTCAAGAGAGTAGTTGCCAAGAGGTTAATCTGTACTGCATTTGCTTTTGTTTGGCTATGTTTTCCCTTTGTTAACCTCCAGAAAACAAACTACATAGTCCTACAACCTATTACACTATGGATAATAACCCTATTAAATATCTTCAGTAGTAATCTGAATTAATTACATTAACAACAGTTAAACTTGCACACACTGACTCCTACTCCTCCTACTGACTGTGAATGCAGAATGCATACAAATCCATTTTGACTGCTGCATTGGGAGGCGTGTGGCGCAGTGGATAGAGCCTTGGTGTTGGGAGCAGGGGGTCACAGGTTCAAACCCCACTGCAGTCAGCATGTCGTTGTGTCCCTGTGGGGATTGTCCACAGTATTGAGTATGTCAGTCGCTTTGGATAAAAGCGTCTGACTTGTAATGTAATGCTGCAGTTGCATGAAGGGAAATGTAGTCCTATGCTCTGCTGCAATCCGGTTAACACAGGTCGTTTTTATTAAGCAAACAATGGTGATGGTGGAAGCTGCCAGAGTGAACTCAGTGATCTGGTTCCTGCAGCAGTTTGTGCACATGTTTCTTTTCTCTGTCCAGATGACACACATGCAGAGTGTGAATCATTTGATGGTCTGGTTTGTGTTTCACCTCTTTGTTACTCTCTCTCTCTCACTGTGGGTTCATCCTTATTCTGTTATTGCGTCTCTCTGAGCTCCTGAAAGGACATTTTTCTGCTCAGAGTTGCTAAGGAGGAGAATACACTTAAGTACCAAAGTCAGAAGGCTATTATTAGAAAGATACCCCCCTATCACACTACTGGTGTGGGCACCAATACAAAGCAACAACTGAGGTGAAATATTATCCATCTATTTCTTCTATTATCAAGTTGGGTTTATGCTTAAAATAGATCTGAGTGATGATCCATTTTCCCTTTAAGTTGTGCATTGGCATCATTTTAATAGTAACCGCACAATTTTCGAAGGATCACTGTTTCCGAAGCAAATTGATCTATTGGACCAAAATCCCCTCTGATCCACAGACATGTGTGCACTGCGATTGCATTGAACCATGTCCATACTGTGATAATGCTGCAATCATTATGTATCAGCCAGAGGTGACTATAGCTGTAATGTGAGCTACTTTAATATTCAACAA